TTTATCTATCGTGGGCGAGTTATTCTTTCCTCCTCAAAAAAAAACATTCGACGTATTCCAGCAGTATTGATCTGGTGTTACAGGGAGTCCACCGATAGAATGGCGGTGGTAATCTACTTACCTAGAATTTCACGTAAGCAAGCCCAGGTCGAAGATGTATGCTGCTAATTGGCTTCCCATCGGTGTTTTACCGTGTCAAAACAAGATTAGTACCGTGCAAAACGACAGCCGTGTGAATGCGTTGACGTGGAATTTCTACTGCCAATCTATTTGAGAAATACGATGCGACAGAGCATACAATGTGAGATACAAACATTCCGTTGGATTTCATAGGACAAGAACCCCTACTCGTCAACAAATGGACACACAAAATTGATGGGTGCAGAAAAGAATGGCACACAGAATGGGGTGGAGTGGGGTCAGTTTCGATGCATACACGAATTACGGGTCAATAATATGTGTGCACACACAACACTGGTTATTGTGTTTATTAGGAGAACCAGCTTCGAACGTAACGGAACAACTAAGATATGTTTGGATAACTGTGGCTACGATTGGTCAGTTTACTGTGGATCACGTGGCAGTTGATCGATTCACGAAGCTTGGTAGTTGGCCTGCAAGTATTTCGTCAGCATGCGAGGAGATATGGTCAGTGCACGGTTGGATGGGTGACTGATTCACATTCTAAAGCGCAGTTGATATCCTCAACGTGACTGGTTTTCAAGGCGCTCAATTTGATGAGTCATTTCGGGATTAGTGTTCAGTTGGTCAACAAACCAAACCAAACCGAACCGAACCAGACCACAACACAGCACAAATCCCTAAATGGGCATCAAATTAACCGCCAGTGATTCCTTAAAAAAGCTTTGTTGCACCCACATGGACCCAGCCGAATTGAAGGAGTCACCCATCCAAACACATGCTGTTTGCAAGCCAATGATCAAGCTCGGTGGATAACCAATCAGATGTTTTGAAATTTGAATGTGTAACGTGACGAAAACGACCGACTAGCTGCAAGTTTTTCTAAAACACAAGCGTGTCGCAAGTCCTTCTGTCATCGGATCGATTACTGAGTTGCCTAGAATGTCTCTAGTTCTCATCACATCCTGTGGCACTTTGATGTCACGGAGAATATAAGTGCCCAGCGACTAGCTGTCTTAATTCCTCATGATCTCGTGCCGTCGAAAAGCGCTTGATCTCTTCGGTTATTAAGTTGCTAACGAGTTTCATCGTCTCAAATATCATGACGACCAATAAGAATGCACCAGCTGCAGGGAACCGATGTGACTCCAGCATTTCCACCTAGAAGCCAAGCGAGAATCGATTCATTCCCAGTAACATATGCAGATTAAAAACGCGTGATTTACTTCCATTCGGTATGTATGGTTAATCATAAAGGCGGTAGAAAGCGCTCTGAGTGAAACCACTTTGTTTTAGAAAATGCCGCTATCACACACCCTTGGGCAACCTGGCAGTGTCCCAGCCCTCGTGCTTCCTTCGGGTGGCATGGTAGCTAGGCACCGGAAGGGTGCTACAGCTGAACAATTCGGATCTCGTGCTTAAAATTGGGCTATCTTTCTCTCTCATACAGCTGAGTAGATCCAAGTTTGCCAGCACGGAGGGCAGTTGATGCTGGTACATCGACCTGATTTCCGAACTTATTGGAAAGTGGATGTGGCAAATTAAGACTTTCGAAGCTGTATGATTAACGTCCTTCGAACTAGCTGGCATTCTGGTCCATACGTACCACGCGCATATTTCAGTGTTCAAACAGTGACGCTCCGCTGTCACATACCCATAAGTTATCCAAATGACTTACTGTGAAGAAAAGAATAGAATTGGATGGAGAAGGGACTCATCGATGCCGTCTAGATGGTTCAGTGGATAAGGCGCCGGCTAACGGACCGGAAGTTTCGAGGTTCGAAACCGGTTTCAGCATCTTGACTGCTCCTGTCTAGGCTTGGGCAGCCTGGCAGTATCCCAGCCTTCGTGCCTTCTTCTGTTGGCATAGCAGCTAAGTACCGAGAGAGTGCTACCACAATAATTCCGACAGACACCCATTCAGGCACTGACGACGAGGCCATTGACATCGATGAGTAGCCTCATCTAGCATCGCCTCCGATCGTACACAGGAAGATCACGCGCACACCACTTCGCAAAGTGTAGTAACGGTATTTTTCTCAGCTTAATTCTCGGTCTGAGCCTCCCAAGCTAGCGTTCGCGTCAAAAACAACCACCAAGGGTGCACAAGGTATATTAACGCCCAAGAACGAAGTCAGGAACAGTTGTACATCACTTCGTATATATATAGCGTAGGCGGTTATAACTCTCTGGAATTTCTGACGCGTTCTGGATGCGCCATTGGCAACCGGGTCATGATTGGCTGTTGGGTTCAGACTTTCGACCAATCGGATCTCGTCTTGATGCCGGACCGGCAAGCGTCCCAAATTCTTGACCAATCTTGCGTGGGATGGACTTCTCGGCCGTAGCAGCACCTGAGTGCCAGTGGTGAAGGGGGATCCGTGTGGAATACCGCCTAACACAAAGCGAGTTGCACCAACAACTCGATATCATTTTCCTCTGCCCGGTCAAAGGATGACCACCTCTCTGCCTGTGCCACTATGAATTGGACACGGAAAACCGTGGTATTTGTGACAAACAATGATTTGGCATTTCGACACATTGCTTAACCACCGCAGATTTTGGCACTAGACACATTCTTCCATTAAAGTCCATGCCACACTACACGTTTTCTGACCACCTCGTTGTGGACTCGTCGACACCAACCTAGCTACCGTTTTGAGACGATGGTTGTCAGAAGCCCGAAGAAGGCGCAGTTCGACTGCTGGTAGAGGTCGAGTTTGACAGCCATACAACAAAACAGCCCGCATTGTAGCTTGATACACACGTCCCTTGAGATTCAGGGATACAGCATAGGTGTCTCAAATCAGCACACGCCGAATCCAAGCTTTAGAGCCTCCTCCACTGGCCTCGCGTGCTACAAAACGCGCCAGACTTTTGACTGCCTTTATTTTGGATTGTAAGTGGCGTGTTCAGCGAGTGCATGTCCAGAAGCATTTGACCTTACACATTGGGAGCAAAGCGCACATCAAAGTACGGGGTCAATTTATCCAAGTGATGCACATCGCTCGTGGTTCGTACCTTTGAGTGAAGCACGAGAAAATGTTGAAAGAAGCGACAGGGCTATTTGAGTGTTCCAATCAACGATTCCTCTAGGCATCGAGTAGCCAGCCCAGTCGACCCACTTGAAACACCGTGCACTGCGAATTTCTGAATAAAGTAGACTAAACGGAAGTAGTCACACTACTCAAAACTGACAAGGTTAAGATGGGATTCCTAATGAGGTTTTCGAGGCCGATTTCTAAGCAAACATCGGATTATTTTCATAAAGGAAACTACTCACAAGGTTGCTGAAAACTCTTCGACAGCGCACGATTGGTTTCGCCCTTCTTGGGGCCGGCTCATCAGGTAGGCGCAGTCCCCGAGTTTCCGTCAATCTTATGTTCTACTTGAACCCGAATTGGCCTGATTTCGAGAAATACGCTCATTTACAAATCAATTGAGTTTTCACGAGAGGCTCAACTGAATCCCTCGTTTATAATATTCCACAATCGAAATGCAAATGAATGTATTTTTCGAAAACAGTGCAATATGGGTTCAAGTAGATCGTAAGGTTGACGGAAACTCAGGGACTGCGCCTACTTGATGAGCCCCAAGAAGGGCGGAACCTGTCGTGGGCTGTCGAAGAGATTTCAGCAACCTTGTTAGTAGTTTCCTTTATGAAAATATACTGCGATATCTCGAATATCGTACCAACTGAAGCATGAGGCGGTCTGTGTGCAGCACTTTCAGTTGTAGAATATCATAAACGAGAGATTCAGCTGGGTCTCTCGTGAAAACCAAATTGATTTGCCAATGAGTGTATTTCTCGAAAACATCAGATTACTTCACTAACTGTATCGTCTGATACAACAATCTCGGAAGAATGGTACTTGTAGATATTAGAATACACGTATCTAAGACGGGTGTCAAGATAGTATGTGCAGACTATCGGAGAATCAGTCGGATAAACTTGGTGGTCAAATTGTGTGCGCCAAAAGCCAGGCTGTGGTTGTATTGACCAGATATTGGAGCCACATTTTATTCGGAAAACAACGCCGTCAACAGAAGTTACAACGACCGTGCAGAGGGAGACACTGTGGAATTCTACAAAAGCATTCCCGCGCTGTGTTGTCCGAGTGTTGTGCCTAGGGTTAGGGGCTCCGAACGAAGAACAGCCCTCAACTATCAGTTCGCTGATTAAAGCATTTCCAATACCACAGAGTCGTATAAATGGGAACAAAATTCTCCCCAAAACAGGGAATCTAACCCAACCAGGAAACAAGTTCAACGTAAAAAGTTTCAAACTTAGCGAATATACACTCATTTGCAAACTAATTTGGTTTTTCGAGAGACTCACCTGGAACCCAGCTGAATCTCTCGTTTGTGATGTTCTCAGGCAACTGAATGTGCTGCACCAGGCCGCCTCATGTTTCAGTCGGTACGATATTCGAGATATCGCGATACACGTATATCTTTGTAATGTACTACTCATAAGGTTGCCGAAAATCCGTCGATAGCCAACGACCGGTTTCGCCCTATTTCAAACTTAGATTCGAAAAAATCTCTATGAATGAGTGACAAGGGAGTCTGTCCATGTATGTATCAATCAGACAAAGGACAGGCGAGTGTAACTGGGCAGGCAAACCTGTCGGTCGAAATCGAATATGAGTACGTCTCAAGGAGAGTGCTCTCTCTTTGTCATGATGGCTGGTCTGTGGTCTTTTGTGCACTTAGTCCCATACACCCCCTCCAATCTAGCCAACCCGTGCAGCGACCTGAAAAAAGTGGACACGCAAACTCGAGCGGGGGGGGAGAGAGAACTAATCGACGAACATGGGTACAAACATGTACGATGACTAGCCTAGAAAATCACTCACTTTCAGATCAACACGACCTCCAGTTGAAAACACCGCATCGGTGTTGTTTCCTGAATAAGTAATCTCGAGGATCTCATCACCCGTCAGCATGTAGGGTGGCGAATTCGAAGGTAGTTTGTCCGACGTGAGGTTCCAGCGCAATTGACTGAATCGACGATAGGTAATATCAGTGGCATTCGATTGGGGCTGGGATAGATCAGCTGTATCAGCCTTGTCATTATACTCCACCAACTGAGAAAAGAAACGAGAATGGGGGGTTTTCAAGATTTGATCAATTCATGCTGGCAAGTCCAGCTGGAAGTGAAAAATCGAAATGCAAAAGATCGGCAGCGCCCCTAGCTCCAATTCCCGTGACATGCCACTAAAGAAACCGATGCTCTTCACGGGAGCAGTAGCATGCAAAAGTGTGAAGACATTTCATCATCAAGAAGTAGCCGTTTATTGACGATTATTCATCTATCGGAAGCATTGTACCACATCGGGGCGAGATGACCCAAATGCGAATTTACTGACCGGAAGGTCCGTGGTTCGATCCCGACCTTTGGCTCTCGGCTTCCCCTGTCTAGGCTTGGGCAACCTGGCAGTAACCCAGCCCTCGTGCGACCTTCGGGTGGCATGGGCACTGAAAGGGTGCTACAGCTGAACGATTTCTTTAACAATGATTGTATCACATCGAGTCGTTCTTAGGCCACAGATAGTGAACCGATAACGGACAATTCATGGAAATCAACTACACAGCGAATCAACCATCAGGAACAGGAACGCAAGTAGAAAAGTGACACAGTACTGTTAAGCAACATCTTTGTCTAGGATCCTTATCCACGAAAACTGCAAACCTGTCCATAACTGAGTTTCTAGATGCAACAGTGGGGCAGGATCGGTGATTCTACTTTCTGGAAACTAGTTGCGAGCCATCCGCCGCTGTCACCCAACTTTATGTAATTCTAGTAACAGAAATCGTTCAGCTGTAGCACCCTTTTGGTGCCTGACTGCCAGGTTGCCCAAGCCTAGATAGGGGAAGTCGAGAGGCAGAGGTCAGGTTCGAACCACGGACCTTTCGGTCGGTAACTTCGCGCTCTAACCACTTGGGCCATCTCGCCCCAATTCTAGTAAGCAGTATGGAAAGACGGAAAGTCGTTGACAGTTTACTCAACAATCACAAAGATGCGATTCTTGGTATCCAGCAACGAAGTACTGAGAATGCAAATGAGCTTGAGATGTCTGGGTGGTTGAAGCACTAACTTTTTGATCGCAAGGTCCGTGGTAAGAATCCAACCCCGACATCTCGGCTGCACCTGTCTAAGTTTGGTTGTTCTGCAAGTAAGCGAATTCTATCGTCATCACCATCAGTATCAGTTGTAAGAACCGCGTACTTGTCTCACAGTGGTTGTAGCTGCCACAATTTCGTCCACCGATGATTTGGGAAGGTGGGCTAGGTAGCTGCGCGTTGGGGGCGGAAGCAGATAAGTTGGTGCGTAAATATAGGTCTGTCGGTGAACTTCTAACTACGGCAAGAGTGGGAAGGGAGTTATGCATTGAAGGCAATGGATTGGATGCACGAGCGCCATTGAGGGCGCGATTGGGCCATGTCTGGCAATGTGACCCGTCTCGGGGTTCCCATCTACGGAGACAGTACTGACCAGCGTAGCTGAGTTTGTTGGTAATGGCTTTCATACTTCACTGCCAAGTCATTGTTTGACCTCCTCTAGCTCGTTTGCACCCTTCGTGTGGTTCTGCAAAAAGAACCCTTCGAGGAAGTCAGTCGACTAGCATACGGAACACGTGGTCAAGCCAGCGCAACATGCAGTGTCATCAGTTCATCTGTCGTGGATGAGTTATCATTTCTAAATGCCGTTTGACGTACTTGAGCACTGCTGATCCGGTGAGCGATCTCTAAACTTTGCGCAACTGAGTATAGCATGACCAGTTCAAAGAATGACACAGATAACCGTTAAACCAAACAGATACTTTGGCTACTAGCATGGCTTCTTTTTTCCACTCAGCTTAGCTTGAGATAAATGATTAATTAATAAATAATAAATAAAGATTAAAAATTAAAAAATATAAATAAATAAATAAATAAACAAGTGCTTAATTCAATAAGTTAATGACCGGAAGGTCCGTGATTCGAACCCGACTTCTGCATCTCGACTTCCCCTATCTTGGCTTGGGCAACCTGGCAGTATCCCAGCCCTCGTGCTTCCTTCGGATGGCATAGCAGCTAGATACCGGAAGTATTATGATTGAACGAGTATTACTGCTATCGTTATTGGTAACGGTACACCAGAACCGTCCTCATATGCCTGAAGCTGCCGATATATGCGAACAGGCGTTTAGATCCACAGACAAGAGATAACTATTAGTGTGGGCTTGATAAATATTCAATAGCAATATGTTTTCGATAAATCTGGCCATCATCTCGACTCGGATAATATTGATGCAATTCATAGAATGCCACCAACAACAGATGTGCTCTCTCTGCCAACTCGCCTGGGATTGGTGAGCCAGTGAGCGTTCAGCTGTAACATCCTTTCGGTGCCTGGCTGCCATACCACCCGAAGGAAGCACGATGGCTGGAATACTGCCAGGTTGCCCAAGCCTACACAAGGAAGTCAAGAGATCGGGTTCGAACCACGAACATTTCGATCAGTAAATTCGCGCTACAACCACCTGAGCCATCTCGCCCCGGCTCGATAACTATGCCGTAAAGCAGAACGAAACCGTCTGTTAGCGGCGTTATTCTTCCATGAAAGTTTGAACAGCGCTCAGTTAAAAAGTGTACACTTCACAAACGGGCCGTAGACAAAAAACTGAGTATTCGTACACTGATATCCCACTACTGCAAGTGGAATCAACAGAATCGATGAAATGCGCCAACAATGGCCTCAACCAGATATGAACGTGGAAAACGATTCCTCAACTTGGACTCGAATTTGTGCATCTCATCTCCACTTACCAACGCGAAGTAGCCACTGATTGTCTTGACGATTGCTTTCTTCGTGAAACTTAGAACTCGATGTGCGATATTCACTTTTCTCGTACTGGGGTCTTGTGCCAATGACAAAACACTGCCCACCAATAGCTTCGAACTATTCTTAAAGCACAATGGGAGTCACCGATCGCTGCTAATGGTATGTCAGCGTCAAATGAAAGTCGCACAATGAAAAATAGTGTTGCGCTGTGAAGCAAGCAACCCGAACGAAGCACATGGGCTTGAAAGTTATCTGAGGCTGGATGGATGTCATCCGAAGATCAGTGCGTCGAGTCAGTGAAGACGGGAGAGTTCGCCAAGTTAGTTTATCACAGATATATTCGTGATAGGTCAGGTAGGTGATAGTCCCCTCCCACGAAGGGAGGTGTCCTACTCAGAGTGTAGACATGAAACACTGAGGGCAATTTGTGATTGTAAATGCATCCTGTAGTTTAACTATTTGTTCAGTGCGTAGAACGAATTCTTTGTTTATTGGGACAATCAACTGATTGCCGGTGAAGTCGTTTCTCAATCAAATGGTAATCATTTCTTGCTAGCTTGGACCGGATCTCGACATCATCGTCAACGTTCTTACTGGAACTCAAGCGTTTGGTCTCAAGACTAATTCCTATTCACCAGCTGAACAAACTGATCAGCGGACGCTTCGTCTGGACAGTAAAAGCCTGAAACTACCAAGCGAAGAATTGATAACTTGACGAGGATTGAGTGTTAACCTATTAGAGATCCAAACGGATCATTTCCACGACTTGTCACTGTGTTTGAAGTCCTCAATTCCACCTGAATAGGTGCTCCAAACACTCAGTCGTTATGCAGCTGAGACAGATTTGGGCACCGATACGGCGATCTCGCATTCAATGGGTGTTACGTCCTGGAAACTGGGTCGTGAACTACGCATGAGCCACCTACTTCAACCCAATTAAGGACGTTGAGACAACTGTGTACGGAGTAGGGTTGCTGGTATAAAGCGATTGTCGTGAACAATATGTTATTGATGGTTTGGCGGCAGTGGGACGAGATGGCTCAGTGGTTAGAGCATGAATTTACTGGCCGGAAGGTCCGTTGTTAGAAACCGATCTCTACATTTCGACTTCCCCTGTCTAAGCGTGGGCAACCTAGCAGCATCCCAGCCTTCATGCTTCCTTCAGGTAGCATGGCAGTTAAGCATCGAAAGGGGGCTACAACTAAACGATGTGGGCGGTAGTTGAAACTGTGGTCGATTTCTTTCTACAAGTGCAACCAACCTATGCTGAAAAATCAAGAAGCACTGCACAGCCGTCCCAGGCCTGTTGACAATAATCAGCAGTGGCATCCCACGAGTCACCATGGAGATTCAGACCCACGAGTAAACCATTCTGCCACGAGTCATATGACGCGGTTGTGAGTTGATTAGCTCCTCGAGTAATAACTTCTTAGCTGAGAGACTCCTGCGACCAGTGGAATCTTTCCCTTTCTGAACGGATGACTTATAATTCAATTAAAGTGGTTGGGTTAAATCTCTCTGTCAGCTGTAACACCTTCCAGTGCCTAACTGTCATACCACCAGAAGGAAGCACGAAGGCTTGGATACTGACAGGTTGCCCAAGCCTAGACAGGGGAGGTCGAGAGGCAGAGGTTGGGTTCGAACCACGGACCATCCGGTCAGTAAATTCGCGCTCTAACCACTTGAGCCATATTGATTAAGTTAAATTTATTTAATTTCAAAATTCTGAAATACCATCGAACTATAAACAATCCACTTAGAAATGAGAATATCAAACGGGTTACATGGGTCTCCTATCAACAACCATGATTGTAAGGCAGTGAAGCCGAACATATCAAACGGGTTACATGGGTCTCCTATCTGGGAAGTCGTCATTCGAGAATCCAGTCAACACGTGACCACATGAAGCGAAGTGCGTGGGTCAATCTCATTGCATATCAGCCAATCGTGGCCGAATGATATGGTCTCCAACCACTAGTCAAATCGCCCTAGAGGTTCGTACGATGCGCGCTTCTGATGATTCTTAACACTGACGAAACAGCTGTAAAGTTCCCGGCATAGATCGACCTCACTTGCAAACTAAAATCCATTAGAATTAATAATAATATTGGATCACTTCACTCTTCAAACTCACTACCTTCGGTTACTCCGATCTAGTAGGACCATCATCATGAGTTTATTTTTGTGTACAGTTCATGGTGCTACGTGGGCTGGGATTCAGTCAGGGCGCCCACACCTAGACAGGAAGACGATCAGAGTCATCAACCGAGGCCATTGGCTCAAAAGCCTAACTGCAAGGCAGCGGTGTTTGGCGGGAAATACAAATGCATTACCATTTCTACGGAACAAGTCGGCGCATGTTTCAACCCTCAACCTGGAGGATCAGGATAATGCAGGAACACTGTTGACAGCCGTCCTAATGTGACTATTTTATGTGGCTAACTTCGGCTAGTGGATGAGAACATTCGATTCTGGAACTACCTCCTTGGGTTGGGTCGATAAATCAATCACTGCGGCTGGAAATGTCTCTTCGGGAGTTTGTTTATACTAAGTAGATGGCAGTAACATTCTGTATGGACGAGATGGCTCAAGTGGTTAGAGCGCGAATTTACTGACCGGAAGGTCCGTGGTTCGAATCCGACCTCTGCCTCTCGGCTTCTCCTGTCTAGGCTTGGGCAACCTGGCAGTATCTCAGCCCTCATGCTTCTCCCGGGTTGCATGGCTGCTAGGCACCAGAAGGGTGTTACAACTGAACGATTTGTTTTATTTCATTTAGTAACATTCCGTACTACTAAAACCAAGAATACGTCTTAACGAAAGATCATGGTCTACTGCACGTTACATTAGGTTACTCTCTGGTAAAAAGGTGTACCTGTTAAAAAACCTACGAAGCTGTAGTAACAGCCAGTTTAGAAGAGTGGTTTACAATAGAGTCAAGTAGATAGGCACTCACATCAAGCAGGGTAACAGCATAGGATTGGGTTATTCCGTCTACGACAATCGCTTCCGTAGGGTCTGACGGTTCTGAATTCAACAAACTCCAGTTGACATGCAGATAGGCGGACTGATTTGAGCTGTGAATGATGAGAACGGACGGAGCCATTCGTTTTGACGCAGCAAACAAGCAGTGGACAGACGATGTGCTGTTTGAGGCTCTCACATAAACAATGTTGAATAAATCACACTGAGAGACATTACAGTTGGGATTCAACTGGGCGGAAATCTGAAACCGTAATAATGGTTATGACGAGCGGATGGACTTACGTCCCAAGAGAGTGCTAATCCACATCTGTACAGAATGAGCACAAGCGATATAAATTGAGAGAGCATCCTAGAGAGGTTCCACTATGGTAGGCTTAGAAATGCTATCGAATCGCGTAGGTTTTCGAATGCTGCAACAACAGAAAAGACGATGTGTTATCAAACGGTATTGCAGCGTGTGACAATACCAAATACCCATTATCTGAATGCTTTTCATTCTGACTGGCGACGTTCATTGCAGGTAAGTGAAGCTTCTGGGAAGGTATTGCAGAGCTTGGGGAGAAGATTGTTATCCAAAATAAAAAAGAGTTCCAGCGGCTCGGTAGGGTTGTCAAGCCTCCTATTTCCAGGCCTACAGTAGCAGCCGTGAAGCGCGTCCCCGGGAAAACACTGGCATGATATTTGCTTTAAAAGCATTTGGCTTGAGTCCTGGTTTATACGTCTGACGAGATTGCAGCGTGTGTCCATTTAACCATAACCAAGCCATCAACGAGGGTGGTCTGGATTATGAAGAAAAATGTTTGATACGAAAAATATTAGTACAGTATCTATTTCTCGAAGGTACATCGTGAGCCCTAAAAGGCTCTATTTGTGCTCAGGGAAGCAGGGACGTGCCAATGTTCTGCTGTCTAACTTCAATGTGTTTTCGTCAGCATTGAAATTTAGTGTGAGCGCCTAATATCAAGATCGATAGGGCTGGAAGAATGTGGTCGCAAGAAAAGTGGACTTCTGTGACGCTCCCTAGAGAGAACACGCGCGTGGTGTGTCCAGGTAGAGAATAAGTTGTTCTGTAAGATAGTCTGTTACTAGAAGTAGGCTTAAAAGATGTCGGTTTCTGGTAAGACAATGGTGTTGAGACTCATAGAAACGTGCTACGCATGAAAATACCCAGTTAGGTTACCAATCTGTCCTTTACTTCACAGTTTTACGTATTCAGAATAGGCAACCGCTCGCTCAGCTCAGCAGTTAAGACACGAACTTATTAACTAGAAGAGACAAGGTTCAAAGCCCGCCTCGATATCTCAGCTGCTCCTGTCTAGGCTTGGGCAACCCTTCAATACATCGGCCCTGGCGCTTGCCTCAGGTAGTATGGCGGCCAGGCGCCGAAAGTGTGTTGCAGTTGAACGTTTTTCTACGGACTGAATCTGTCCGGTCAGTAGTAATAAAATAATAATGAAAATAATCTTTCAGCTGTAACACCCTACCGTTACCTAGCTACCGAGGTACTCGAATGAAGCGCAAAGGCTGAGGCGCCCTCAAGTTGCCCAAGTTGCGGGGATGCTGACGTTAAGTTCGAACCACAAAACTTCCGGTCCGCACTCTCGGTAGTAATGTGGGCCTGCTGACTTTCGTGGGCTCCAGCTGTCTTGGACTGACAGGTTGCATCAAATGACGCCATAATAAGATTTTCTCTTCCCAAGATTAGTAAAAAGTAATGGCAGTTCGAGCAGGTTTGATGCAAACCCGATAATGAATTACAAATTCGTCCGTGTTTCCACATCTTCTACAGGATGCGGTTTCAAACGTACCAAAATGAGACAGCTGTGTATAGTTCCTGTGCCCAGGGATGGGCTAGCCCGTTGTAGTCAAGTAGGTCAGACCATCGAGTCAACAGCTCCGGGATGGGTCCCCCGTGAAAACCTTACTGTCCACTGCCTCGTGGGTCCAATTTTTGAGAGGAATAGGGGTATGACCCACCATATATCCACCCTGTTGATTTGGTGGTCAGACTTTTGAGTAAAAAGTTCAAGGTGAAGTACGTCAACCAAACCTCGTTGCTTGGCCTGAGCAACCGAGAAGTACCATTTGCCCGCACAGTTCTTCGTCCATCGATGTTCCTTCTGAACACCTTCCCACCATGCAAGCAAACATTCTTAGGTCATCTATCATCAGTTACCTGACTCCGTTGCACATTAACCATAGACCAAATAACACCTCGCTACATATACGAGATGCTTTTCACATAGACGCTGTCAATATCCACGTCAAATTGTCGAACATGTATTGCTCGCCTAGACCTTATGCTGTCTTAAAATTGGTGCATGCTGTGCCTCTGAGAACGCCCATAAGACCCAAGCACAGCCATGCATATTAAAGCGCCAAGAGAGAATTTAGATCTTTCCTATTTCATTCCCCACGTGTTCGGTGATTCGGAAGCGCTGACTCATGGAATATATGGCCTGAGAATCATCAACATCGCTGGCAGCAACAGCAGATGGGAACATTGGTGCCCAACTAGCTTAGCTTGACTGGATATATCATTTGAGTGGAGTACGGTCGGCCTCATCCACAACACGTCTCCTGATAACCGCACTGTCAATTCGTTGGTTCCACCAGGCTCAAGTTATGATGTCTCTGATCACCCACCCGAACTGGCAGAGTTTCGCAGCCGTACAACAACCCTCCACGCACTGTAATCTGATGCACGCGTCCAGTGACACTCAGCGACATGTCCTTATGATGCCACAAGTGGCAAACACAATTCTGGTTATTGGGATTTGTGTGTTCACTTCATCTGTCATACTGCCGCTCGAGATAATGAAACTACTAAGAAATACATAGCCTTCAGTGTCACTCCTTGAATTCTGAGAGGCGTGTTGAAGACTGTAAGTCCTGCTGTATAAAGTTGAACTTCGCGAAACGAAACACATGGCATGGCTATTAGGCACCGAGAGGGTGCCACAGCTGAACGACGACCACTGCAAAGAAAAGAATAAAGGCAGATGGGGAAGGCACTTGAAGCTAACTTACTAGAATCATTCCGAGGTGCCTACACCTACACACGCATAAAGGCAACGTGGTTGGAAAGTGACAAGAACGCCATTAATATCGATCAGCAGCCATATCTTGCACCGTCTCTAACCAGGCGTCGTGGGCATTACGCGGTAATCGTCCTGGAAGGCGAGCAGCATCGACAGCACTCTATCATTTTGTAATCTCTTCACACCCCTCTGCCAGGTCAGGGGGTGGCCAACTTTCTGCTTTTGCCACATTGAGTTGGGTATAGAAAACAGCAGTCTATTCGGCAAACGATGGTTGGGCATACGAAACACATGTCCTAACCAACGCAGCTCCCGGTGCTGGACATATTCTTCAATGGTAGCACCCGTTGCGCAACCAAAGTCGCTTTCCAACTGCCTCGTCACGGGTTCACCCATACCAAACCACACAAGCTATGGTTCTGAGACAACGATCGTCGAACACCTGAAGACGTCTCAATTCTGCTACTCGAACAGTCATACAACAAGACAGCGCGTAGTCTAGCCTGACACACACGTCCCTTAAGATTCAAGGGCATAGAACTTGTCTCAAATTAGCAAATGCGACCCGAGCCTTGAAGATTCGTGCTCTGACCTTGTTTGTCATATTATAGTCGGAACTAGTACAACTGTCAGGATATGCAAAATGCCCCACGACTCCGAGTGTCCCTCCCTCGATTGTAAACAGTGTGTTCAATGACCGCATGTTCAGGGCCATGGTCTTCAAAGTTGTGGGTACAAAGTGCATACCACAGGATGGGAAGACTTCGGTCAGTCCATCCAGGAAGTCTACACCGCATTCTCCTTCCAAACACGAGAACAATGTCGTCTGTATATTCCAGATCGACAAGGTTTTCATCAACACCAGGGTTCGTCACGTTATCTCATCAATCACGAAAGTAAGTAGGAATGGAGACAGTGGGCACTCCTGACGGATACCGCTTATGTATGAAGGCTTATGAAGAGCTCTCCGTATACTCTCACACAAGTGTGTCAAAGAGAACGGACCGCTCAACTGATTCGAATGCGCCTTTGAAACCCAGGAATACTAAAATTGTGGATCGGTTCTAATTATGGTGTCGTTCTAGCACCTGATGTAGTGTGCAGATTTGGTCAGCGCAACCCCTACGAGGCCGGAATCTTGCTTGCTGTTCTCGAGTCAGTTTCATGATTCATCATAAGGCGACGAAGTACAAGCGAAGCCAACAGTCCCGTTATAACCGGGATTGGGCTGACTCTTTGCAGATACCACACCCGTTATGAGCCCCCTTTCACGAAGTGAGCATTATCACCGACCGTGCCCAGTTGTTTGGGACAGTCTCCTTTTCCAAAATGCAGGCAAACATATCATGCAAGCGATGACTGAAGATCTCACCCCATATTGGAACGATGCGGCTGCAAAGTCATCCGAATCAGAAGCTCAGTGGCGCTTGAGAGAACATATACAATCATAAACTTCCGAGGCTGTAGGGGCATCCACGTTCAGCGTTCAACGTCAACTGTGGGCTCCTGAAGAGTGGCAGCTAGTGGTCACGATAAAGGTTATTCGAAGTATTCGGCCTAACGGTCTAGGCCTTCGTCTTTATTCACGTCAGTATCTCATGAACGACGAAATTAAGCAAAATTGAAGAGAGTGAGCATCATTGTTAAGTCACACTACTTGTAGCGTTCGGAAAGGTCCCCATACATTCCCACCAGCCACAAGTATGTGGATACACACAGCGCAGGACATTCATGAACTTCTGGAGCATAACCTGTTGCGCAAGCGGGTGGGGAACTGCTCGACGGAATCGGAAACACTCTTGAAGTCACGGGATACCAAGATTGTGGGGCGCCTACACACATATCGTTGCCTTAACATTTGACGGAAAATGAATTTGTGGTCAAAACAAACCTTTTCGCCCGGAATCCTCGAATCACGTTTCCACGCATCTTCGTGAAACGACGTGAAATAGGCGACGCAGTTTGGTAATAACATGAGATAAGCTAATTTCTCTGTTTACCACTCATTGCGAGCTTCCTTTTTGAAAACAGGCGCCACTACTGACTTGCTCCAGTTACCTGGGACGGTCAGGCGATGACTGAGGATTTTGCCTCCATCTTTGAAAAGACCGAACGGGAATTCGTCGGCATCAGCAGCTCGGTGACGCTCAAAGATAACAGGCATCCAGTTGTTCCAGAAGCCGTCGGAGCTTCATCGCCCAGGGCTGCACTGCGGGTGAGAAAACTGGCTGAGCAACTGCAGGTGGCTAGTTGGACTGTTGTTAGAAGTGTCCGGGAAAATCACTCTTCTGTTTTTGAGAGAGGCGAGCCGTTCTTATCAGTGTTGTTTTTGGTCAGCGGAGGCCGCTTGGTGCC